AACGGAAGGCGTCTATGGCTGGACATTCAACTCGAAGATGGGAAGACTCTGCATTGGGTCATCCTCACAATGCCAACCTCGCACCACTCCAGAGATGCTGAGTGGCTTGCTGAGCTTGAAGGTCTGTCACATGACATCGACATGCTGTGTCCCGCAGGGGCGCTCCCAGAGGGACACGGCGTGCTGGGAACAGGCGATATGAACCTACAGCCTGATGAGCTTGGGGGGGACAGGGAGCCATGTAGGAAGCGACAAACTGCTTGGTCCAAGTTCTGCAGGAAACACATGCTTGTTTTGCACAACCCTTCCATGAGCAACCGGCAAGCGCATTCAGTTGAACTGCCCTTCAGGAACAGGTGGGTCCGAGTCCAGGAAGGCTCTACGCGTCATGGCCCTGGAACAGGTAGAGCCATTGACCTAGTGTTTTCGTCTTCGGAACTTTGTGTTGATGTAACCATTCATAACAGTGTGCATTGTGCTGATTCTTGCCCACTCCAGCATTGCCAAGAGACTTGTCATGGTGATCATTTCCTGATTCAGCTAGATGTCCACTCCCACCCGAACTGGTCATCTGGACCTGCTGCGCCAGCGTTTCCTGGGAGATGGCACAGTCCCGACAAGTGGGCAGTTGCTCTGCGCCCGGCAGAGACTGTTCTGCAGTGCTTAGGGGAGGTTGCTTTACTAGCAGGTGATGAATTATGCGACGCTGTCCCATCGCTGGCGCGGCAGCAACACCATATCTGGGGCATCGAGGCCGCGACCGCATTGGCCACCGCTACAGCTGGACTTGTGAGAGACATCTGGCTTGGGTCTGGTGCTCCCAGTCCGCACCAAGCTGTGTCTTGCTTGAACTTGGCCGAAGCTGTTCTGCACGACCTCACAGATGAGTCCAGACGCTTGGTCGAGCAAGTCTCTCGCAATACCAACAAGGGTGCTCTCCTTAATTCTTGCCTTAAGCTTTTGCGTGACCCTGCCCCCTGTCCTTTGCCCTGTCTGATGAAGGGTTGCTCCATTCTTACTGAAGTGGAGTCCAATCGCGAATGGGCCTCAGCACTTTCGGCACAATGCGCCTGGGAGTCACCGTATGACCGGGCTTTCCACGCAGCCACTCTAGCAAGGTTCCGCCAAGTCTGCAGTGCGGCAGGCGCTGCACTGCCTCAGGACCACTTAGACCATGCAGTCACAGAGCGGGAAGTGGTTGATGTCAAAAACAACTGGTCCACTTCCAAAGGCATGCCACCTGACCTCCTGCCCCGTGCGATTTTTCAGGCAAACTCGGCTGGTTGGAATTTAACAGTGTGGAGCTTGCAACGTTGGGCTGGACCAGGTGGCGCCGCCTACCGTCCAAGCCTATGGCGCAAAGCCGCCTTGTGCCCTGTGCACAAAAATGGCCCTGCCAACCTCGCTGCAAGCTTCCGCTTAATCTTCGTGAAAGTCCAAATGGGCCTTCTTCAAGAAGCTCTTCTAACCCAGCGCTGGCTTAGCAGAACACGCTCGCATGTTCAACCATGTCAAAGCGGCTTTGTTCGGGGCGTAGAGGATGCGCATCTTCTGCTACATGAAATCTCAGCCGAAGCGATTGCCCAACAACGTGCGCTGTGGATGGTGATGGGCGATTTTCGCAAAGCATTTCCCAGCGTTTGCAGGGAGGATCTTGTATGCACCTTAGCAGACGGCCCCCATATCAACGGACAGTGCTTAAAGCTCCTTGCCAACATCTTGGAGCGCGATTCCGTGGTCATCTGGCATAGTGGCTACAGCGAAGTCACTGTGAATCAAGGGATTCCTGAAGGTGGTACGCTCGGGCCATTTGGTTACCCCGTTTTACTGGACACCTTAGTCCGCGAACTGCTTGCGCACAACTGCGGCTTAGGTGTTGGTTGGGTCATTCCTGACATTTGGAAGGGGCGGCTTTGGTCGGGTTTAGGTCAGCCTGAGCCTGCCTTAGTTTCTCTACTTAAGGCCGCCTTGCGTTCGCCCTGCCCTAATTCCGTCCTCCCGTCCCCCAGGCTCCTTGATGAAAGCCCGAACCTGGAAGCTTCCGCATTACAAGCACTCAGCGATATGGCTCCGCTACGCATTGCAGCAATTCTCCACGCTGACGACCCCGTGCTACTTGGTTGTTGCAGATGGTCGTTGCAGAAAAGCTTGGACATTCTTGCAAACTGGGCGTTTAAGCACAAAGCATCTTTTCACGTCACTGAAAAGAAAACGGTGGCCATGGTCACGCCCAGTTCCACCGGCGACTCAAGTCACCCTCTGCCAGCGGCCCCTATCCTGAAAGGGATCGCGGGGCAGGAAGATCGTGCCTTGGCTTTCAAGACTGGCCATAAATGGCTAGGCTTGTACTGGTCTGCCAGTCTGGATCTCTCCGTAGCTTTGCGCACCAGACTCGCCATAGCACAGAAGGCCTTCGCACTGCTGGCAGGGTTAGCGCAGCGTGACGCGCTGCCGCTTCACCTGGTCTCGTCAATTTTTTGGAGTAAGGTTTTCCCATCGTTATGTGTTGGCTCGTGGCTGTTGGGTATTGCGCCAGATGCACAGCACATTATGGACTCTACCCTAAAGTCCTGGGCAAAGCAGCTTCTTGGAGCCAGCCAATGGCAAAATGCAGCCACTGCCGTTTCAGAGTTGGGTTGGGACACTGCAGGGTTCTTCATCGTGGTCTCGCATGTGGCCTTGCGCAGAGCTAAGCTGTGGTCCATGCCGGCGGAAGACCTCTACGCTAGTGTCTTCCGCTGCTCGCATGCTTGGCCGACTTCTTGGGCCCAAAAAAGCCAGGCTTTGCTCGAAGCATATAGCATCTTGGATTTCCCCAACTGGACCTACCAAGGAGGGACGTTGGAGAAGTATCAGCTGTATGTGAGAAACCGCTGTAGAGAGCTTAGCTTGCCGGCCTGGAAGGCCGAGGCCGAAAGATCCACCAAAGTGCCCCCGTACCTGAGCTTCCAGCCCTGTCATAGCACATTGCTTCAACTTGTGGCTTCTGCCCCTCTGGGTTGGGAAGACCGGCAATCCATCAGGTCTCTGTGCCGATTGCGCGCAGGGTTTTGCCGCATAACTCATCGTGATGGAAGGCCCAGCCGGGCGCGTCTGCAACAATGCATTCTCTGCAACCGGGGTGTTCGATCAGGCCTACCGCACCTTCTCAGCGAGTGCCCGGCATTGCGGCATTGGCACGACCTCCTGTCGGACCTAAAGCCGCAGCAAGAGCCTGCTTCTGCTGCGGAGACTGCCAGGGCCATCTTGTCCTGCCCACCCAGGTCAAGTACCTTCGTTTGTGTTCTCAGGCTGGCTGCAGACATCGACGAGAAGGTCCAGCAATTCTGGCGTGATGAAGCGTCTAGGTGAAAAACAAAGCCGCAGTTGGCGACAGAGAGATTGCTTCCAAGCTTGTCAGGGCTTGGTTTGCTTCTCTCCGTCGCGGGGCCACTGCGTTGCATTTCTAGAGGGTTGAGGGTTCCTGTGACTTGCCCCGAGTCACTTTACCCACAGCCACTCTACAGGCTGAGGACGAGTCTACACACACACACCCCAGCGCTTCGTAAACTTCAGCATGTGATAGGCCAAATTGACTACATAAAGCACTGCCCACCCTCACAGCCACAGCCCAACGATTTGCAGGGTTTGGGGATTTTAGGAGGGCTGTTTTGAGGGTTCTTGCGGGGCCGTAATGCTTCTTAATAATTCTATAAGAAGGCGTTGTATTTTCCGTTGTGGGTCTTTAGGGTATTAGGGCTTAGGATCTGAGGTACTAGGGTCTAGGGTTCATTGTTTGTAAGGGGTCGAGGATGTAGGATAGTGTATTCGAAGTCATACCATTATGAACGCTTCATCTGTAAAAGTTGTGCACCCTTACAATTAATTATAGAAGCTATCTAGAAGTCGTATAGACCCTACAAGGACGTGTGAAGCGTATCTACAAGGCATATCGCTGCCCAACATCTGTAGAGCTTGTAAGACTTGTTTGTGCGAAGAAGCCTGGCAAGTTTAGCCCTCGGAGCAGCCTCAGACAAGCCAGCAGGAAAAACTATGGACGAAAGCCCTAAACTCCAACCCACCCCCTCCCCCCCCAGCTCTAAACCCAAAACCCGTTTCCCTCATGCCCTCGCGCTAGGCCTCTCTCAGCACGCGCGCGGCCCTCCTCGGCGCCCCGACCGACGTCCCCGTCGCGGAAGCCGCCGGGACCTTGGCTTCCACAGTTTTGAATATGATCTTCACGAGTTCCTTAAAGGGCTCCATTAGGGTGTAGGGTTTAAGGTTCCTTAAAGGGCTCAATTAGGGTGTCTATATGTTTAATTTTTAGAGTTTACGGGTTTAGGGGTTCAATCTTTTTGGGGTTCAGGGTCTTTCGGTTGAGATATTCTTAAGAGTCCTAATACTTGTTCTTGGTACAGGAGGAGCCGTTGGGAATAAATGTCCTTTTTCCGAGGTCCTGAACAAAAGCGGAGCCTACCCCATCACATTTTCTCAGGTACTGGATGTTTCTGAAGCCCGAATCGCACAACCAGCCAGAGGTTAATTCACCGTAAACCCGGAGACTCTCAAGCAGACAGACCTTATTAACAACCTCCCAGAGACATATGGGTAGTTGTCCAAATTAGGGTCCCTTTTTGGCTTATTATTGCAATACAGCACTTATTATTTAGGGTACCCAAAAAAGGGACCCAATTCTGACAACCACCCATATTCCTTACATCAAGCCCGAAGGGTCCGGCCTCCTCAACCCTTCAACGTCGACTTAGGCGGCCTTAATACTTACCTCTACTATTATTTGGGGGGGGGTCCTTATTGTAGTAGAGTATGCCCCAAATACCAATTCCAATGACTAAGGCCCCCGATCGTGATCGATCCAGAGCCCTTTTCCTGTATCTTTAATGAAGTTAATGGCAGCATTATACGGTTTGGAAGAAGCAAGCGCTTGGTTTCAATGATTTCCAGCGAGGGCTTGCTTCGAGCTCTTCCTTTCGACTATATAGGTCCACTAAACATTCGTGTGGATCCTAAACCTAAACCCTAAACTCCTAAACCCTAAAACCCTAAACCCTAAACCCCTAAACCCTAAAACCCTAAGCCCTTAACCCCTAAACCCCTAAACCCCGCAGGTGTTCCCGGTTTTTCAGGCAAGGCCCGAACCCGAAGATGCGATTCCCACCCAGAAGCCTTAGATCATCGTGAGACCAAGAGCCTGGACCCCGAAGTGCTAGGCTCTAAGCCTCCTCCTACTGTTGATGGACAAAATCCTGCATTACCCATTAAAAGGAATATACCATAGTTCCCATAGTTTAGAGTCCTTAGGGCCATGCAGGATTTTGTCCATCAACAGTAGTATTGGATTTCTCACTGTTCTGCAGTTCGAAAAGGGCTCATTAAAAAAACTCCAAACCCTACAGTGAAGCACAGACAAGTGGAACATGGGTTTGGAATGATTAGTGCGAGGATTCCTTATACTGTAACTTGAGGGCGGGAGTGGCATGAGGCATTCTTCATGTTCCCACTTTCTGGCTTCTAAAAAGTTCTCTCCCCGAAATCCCAAGTGACAGCCATTCCCGAAGATCCAGCATGCAGAGATCTCGAGGTGGATTCCTCCTGGTATACCAAAGGTTTTCTGCCGAGTTTCGAGTCCTGCCTTCTTTTCGCTGCTGTGACTCAAGGGTTTTGGGCTGGGCTTCTGACTGAAGCATTCAAGCCTTCGCCATCAGATTTGCTCACATAATCAGACTCGAGACCCTAAACCCTAACTGACAGATTAAGATTGCAGCTTCCTCAGTTTGGCTGTTTCCGCCTTTGCCGGCTTCGGACAGGCATAGTTCAAGCTCGATGTAGCTTCTGAAGAGGTGGGAATTCCGAAGCACACGGACCGGCAAATCGAGCCTGTACACCAGACATGCATGTTCCGTCATGCATATCATATTCATATTCATATATATATATATATAGTCATTTACTTATTTATTCGTACGACATAAGCACACACATAAATGCAGACACACATAAAGTCACATAAGAAGGCCCAGGACAGAACCCAGGCCCAGAGCCCTTTGTTCCAGCGACCTTGGGTCTAGGATGGGTCACAGCTCCTGTCTCGAATGACTGTGTGCTTGAGGGTTCATGGATAGTTGTATCCTAAGGATCCATGTACCGAAATAGTATATACATTGGCCAATGTACCTATATAGGGACTGTTTTAAAGCCAAAGTATATACTATTTGGGTACATGGACCCTTAGGGTTTGCCGGGGTTCAGAAGCAAACTTTACGCTTGCGCCAGAGAAGTCAGCAGATAAATTATTGTAATCACGGGACGGCTAAAAAATGAAATCGCGTCGTCTTCTAGGTACTTGGAGGATCATGGGACTTCGTAACTAAGGTTATAAGTACCTTAACTGGTGTTATATGATTAATTATAAGTATGGTTACCTTCTTTATAACCCTAGTTACTACTTTGTCCCATGACCCTTTATGTAGACCCTAAACCCTAGACCCTTAAAGGGAAGGCTAGTGTAGAACCCTATAGTACCCTTTAAAGGAGCCCTTATAACCCTACTGTTGATGATATAAATCCTGCATGACCTTAAGGACCCAAAACTATGGGAATTATGGTATATTCCTTATTATGGGTAATGCAGGATTTATATCAGCAACCGTAGTTACTATGTCCCATGTTCCTTGAAGTATGCATCTCCAGGGACACGGGCCAGTTCCAGGGTTCAGGCTTTGGGGAGCTACGTCGCAACGCATCTTAGGTAGAGCGGTTAATATACCCTAAGGCTCCATGTACCCATATAGTGTATACTCAGGCCTTAAAGTACCCATATAGGGACTACTTTGGGGCTTAAGTATCTACTATAAAGGTACATGGAGCCTTTGGGATAGAGGCCTTATAACAGTTACCAATACTATTTTGCGGGGGGTTCCTTATTATAAGTTTGGGATAATGGGCCCCAAAGCCCTATATTAATTATTAAGGCCCCTATAGTAGTTGGCTCAACACAAGACTTGCCAGCTCATCGCCTTAAGGCATTGTCATGGAGCCGAACAAACAGCTGCAGACCAAACGCTTGCGCATAGTGGCAATTGCTTGCACATGTCCGGCCCAACTCGTTGAGGATATCGACATTCCATGTTTCCAGGATTAGAGTGTTGGCATCGAATCCGTGACTGCATAACCCTGTACCATGAGCCCAAGTCTAGGGTTTAGGGCTTTAGGCTTATAACATTCTAGGGTTGCGTGACAACCCTTCACCATGAAAGCAAATCTAGATAAACATTTCACTTGTCCCCGCGAAGTGCTCAAGCGAGCTGACTGTCACCCTCAGGGTGAAGTTACGGCATGATGAGATCAATGGGGCCCTCAGAGTCTTGTGGTGGAGCTGAACGAGTTTTTCGGAAGTACAGCATCGGGACTCAGACACTCTGAGAGCCTGCATTTTCCAGAACCCACCTGCAAAACTCGTCAGACCATCACGCGCACAGCGTTTAACACTAGATTCCAAAGCGCAGACCATGTCGCTTCAGGATGTGTGGTTTAGGCCCCTTACATGTACCCTTACGGCTTGCTGCGCCCATGTCGCACACGATTGCGTTGCGATGCCGAGCCACCATGGGGGAGCCGTGCTGGATTTTGGGGGAGGAGGGCTTTCCTGCTTATTGACGTAATAATTATAGGTAGTATTGATGGCTCAAGGATTCAGGAATTCACGGGCTTGCCCATTGGCCTGAATGCTCAGGGTGTTTACAGGCCAAAAGAGATAAGGATGTTTACGCATCGGTTTGCACGAACACGAACCATCTGTGACACCAAGCGTCTACCCGAAGCGCTAACGTCGCTGAAGCCCTAAATCTTAAACTATTATTGTCTTGGCTGGGTCTTCCCATGCAGGCGCTGCGCCTATAAGCCTGAGATTCTGGGAAGCAGTCTTCGGGGCTGAAGGTCCATATGGTATAGAGTTTGAAGTTGCTTGAGCGGTGTAGAGTTTAGGGTTTAGACGTGTCAGATCTAGCAACCCCAAAACCTTAGTGTCTTAAGCTTTCAAAACTCTAAACCGGAAGCAGCAAATTTTGGAATCCAACAATCCTAAACCGCAAGAACCTCAACACCATGAAGTAAACCATGATCCGAAAAACGTTAGAAATCGTGGAGCCCCACATCATTTCAGATCCCCTCGAAAACCCAAAACGGAACCAGATCCTTCAAGAGCCCTCGCACCCACGTTATATCACCCTTTATAACACACTTGCAGAAGCATATGAAAACGCAGCAAGAAATTCTGCATAAACCCCAAAACGGTTCTGCATATGCTTTCCCAAAACTCCTCTTGCAGCTGTCAAACCGGTGTAAAACATCATATCAAGTCCTCATGTGACGCCCTGCCCGTGAAGAAGGCCAAAGTATATACCTTTTGCGTACATGGACCCTTATTATACCCTAAACCCCACAAAAGCCTTATAGAAGCTATCAATATCAAAGAACCATTAAAGGAACTCTATTTGGGTACACGGACCCTTGGGTTCAGAAAAAATCAAGTGAATCCTAAACCCTAAGCCCCTAAACCCTAAGCCCCTAAACCCCTAAAGCCCCTAAGCCCATAAAGCCCAGAACCCGTACATGAATCCTATAAACGATAAGACAGAGCCAAGTTATTTTTAATATCCCGCGTCCGAGGAAGCTCCTCGAGCTCGGCACCGGCCCGCAAAGAGGTGGGGCTCCTTTTAAGGGTCCCTCTTAAGGGATCCTCTTAAGGGGGTAGTATAGGGTTCTATACTAGGGTCTCTGTTAAGGGATCAGGGTACCATAGGGTTCTACAGTAGGGTCCCCTTCAAGGGATCCTTTCAGGGTGAAGGGGTTTGGGGATTGGGGCTGGGGTATTATTCTGTAGATTAGGGGCCTAGGGTGCAGGGCTTGGGATTCAGAGTGAGGGGTTGGATGTTGTAGGGCGAATGTAGACCTCAATACGGCGACGCCCTTACATAAATCCGCGCAGATGGTGCGAGTGTGAGATCTCAGGTTGTGAACATCACGGACTTCAGGATTTTGGCCGTGGGTTCAAAGTAACCTGGTCACAGAGCTCGGTCTGGAGCCGCTAATGTAGGAACCTGATCAAGAAACCCTGGACCTATAACCCCCAAAATAGTAGGATTCATCTAAGGAACCCTCATAAAGGCCCAAGGTTTCTTAATCAGGATCCTACATTAGCCTGACTCATGAAAATTAGAGATCAGCTCTTTGGTCGTCACCCTCATGGCAATGAACAGCCCTGGCCCGAAGTCTAAAGACTGTACAGACTCACATGAGCGCGACGACCATGATTCCCAGCCCTGGAATGAAACCCTAAGGCTCAAATTAGCCCAAAAGCCTTATATAGTATGGTCTTTGGGCCTAAAAGTCTTAAAATATGAGTCCTTACAGCCTAAGGGAAAGGGCTGAGCCTGCGGTGGAGAAATCGGTCATGTGAGGCCATTTCATTCGTGCTGGTTCGTGCTGGTGAACCTGAGATATGAGACCCGCTTGGGCACAACATCGATCGCTAAGCTCCTAAACCCTGGACCTGGAAGCCCTCATCCCCTAATCCTCTAAAGCTGCGGACCCTGAACCCCTGCACCCTGATCTCTGATAACCTAATCGCCATAACCTCATTCAAACTTCCCAAAGGGTCCAAGTATCATTATTGTATGTACTTATAGGGTATTTTGGGGGGTCTAAGTATATACCACCATAATGATACGTACTTGGACCCTTCGGCCTTATACCAAAGCACGGCGCTGCGAGGAGTCCCCAGGGATTTCTGAGCTGGCGCAGCTCACGTGCAGACCTCGATCTTGGAGCTGGGGAATTAAGATTTCACGGACTTGCATGATGCGATGAGAGAGAGATAGAGAGAGAGAGATAGAGAGAGAGAGAGAGAGAGAAAATACAATGAGGATCTATACTTCTAGTCTGGTTTCGGGCTTGTGCCATCAGCTACAAGTTTTCGTGAGCAAGCACTCCGACGGGGGGTCTTCACGGCATTTAGGCTCGTCCGGTCTACGCCACTGAACTGCAAAGCCAGTAGTCTGGTCACCCATCTGCACCTACTTCAAAAAGCCGCTGCTGGCGCTTCATTGATGCTTGTGACTGGTGCCGCTGCTTCGCTGTTCGGCTTAGGGAGTAGAGTTCCCTAACCCCTAAACAGCCCTAAACCCTAAGCCTTAAACCCTAGGCCCTATAAAGCCTAAACAACCTTCCGAGGGCAAAAAGCAAGCCCTGCAGCAAACGTTCCCGAGGCGCTTTCTGCTGGACACTGCCAAGGTTGAGGAGCCAAAGAAGCACCCACACACAAACTTTCGAGTGGGACATCCCCATCTTATGGTCTTTTTTTGGGTCTCTATAGGTTGAGGAGACGTCTGCCTTCAAATTCGATCGCAAGCGTCGAATTCCTGCTGTTCGTTCTGATTTTGCTCAAGGGTTTCGACAGGATGTTTCTTGCTCCTAGATGTTGGTGATTTTGGGCTGTGGGTCGATGCTTCAAGTAGTTCACTCTGAACTTGCCCTCTAAGCCGCTGACCCCACAGCCTACACGCCGACAGCACTACAGTAAAGGGAACTCCAGAAAGTTGGAATATGG